CTGGCCCATTTTGAGTTTTATTTGTCATTTTCAACTTTTTCTTTTTGATTCTGATTTGTTATTTTTTTATTAAAGCATAAAAAATATTAAAAATATTTTTCTCACATTTTTTGCATTTTATTTGATAATTATTTGCTTCATTTAGTTATATATGTAAATAAATACATAATACTTTTTGTTTAGAATATTAGAAACAATACAAAATACATTTATTTTCTAATTTTATTTTATTTTATCTTCTGAAAACATTTTATAAAAAATATACTTTTTTTGTAAATATTAAATATTTTATTTTTTGTACATATTTAATATATTTAGTAAATATTATAAATACTTATATATTTATTAGTATATTTAGGTTAAAAATACAAAAATAATACATTTTTCATTTTATTAATATTTAACCTCAAAAATACCCTTTTTAAAAATATACTTTCTTTTTATTTATTTTTATACATAATTAATAAATATTGCATATAATAAATAATAAATACCCTTTTATTTATAAAATTAGGTTTTTGCCCTAAAAACTTAAAAATACCAAAAATTAATTCATTTTATTTTGTTTATGTGACACATAAAAAAATACTTTTTCATACATATAAAAAATCATTTTTTGCATCTTGCATATTTATTGTATTTTTTATTTAATTATTGTATATTAAATAATTTGTATAATTCAATTTGGATGTAATAGTTTAGTTTTAATTTCTTGCTAAAATATCCCCATTTGAATATTTGTACCCCCCATCCCATAATTTGTGTTGTAATAACTTAGGACCTTTTATTTTTCGCATTTAAAAGCTTTCTAATTATGCCATGTTAGAATTAGGGTTTTGTATGCAAATCAAAAACAACAAATAGTTTGACCTAAATTCAAGATAAACAAGTATGAAAATGGACAACACTAATCACACTTGCACCCCTAGGGTATTCCACTTGTTGCCTTCAATAATGGGCCATATTGCATGTTAGGTATCTTTGGCAAAAACAAAACAATCAAATGATCATAGTCCCTCGATGACGCTTTCAAAAGTTGCCTAAAAAATGATCAAGTCCCTTAAAGAAAAATTGCCCAAAGATACTTGGCACCATTGCAATCATGGTCTAAACAATGACCCACGCCCGTCCCGTTCACATCCTAACACAAGATTGTCCACCAAATACAATGGTGGAACAAAATTGTTAAAAGGGTTAAAACATAGCAATAATCTTTGAGAAATTTAGGGTAGATAGCTTGGTTACTTGCCAACTTGCAAAACAAAAACACTTGCCTATTTTTCAAAACCACACATCACAACACACTTTCAAAACAACTTTTCAAAAACATTGAAAACTTTTAAAAGACATACACCTTTGTGTACATCCCAACATGGATCATTACAAAGGTTGCCACCACATTGGCCTCTTTTCAAAACATTTTCAAAACCCATACACAAAGCACCATTTCAAACAATTGAAAATTAAGGCAAGTTGGTCTAAGCAAGTAACTAAGAGCCCATGGATAACCATGGATAGAAAGGGTGCTAATACCTTCCCTTTCTATAATCTACTCCCCGAACCCAAGAAAACATCTCAAAGGTTTTTGCTGTGCTTTTTAACCTTTCCTTAGGATAAAATAAAAAGTCGGTGGCGACTCTTGCTCAACCGAAACATTTGCGAAAACAAACGCAAAACCTCAAGTCAGTTCTCCCACCGTATCACAATAAACAATCAAAAGCAACAATATTTCATCCCCCCAAGTGTTACATATCATAGCCATGACACCGACTCGAACTATTGAAGGTATACATCCTTCACTCTCGATTACCTGCACGTTACCAACATCAGGGCAACATTCAAACAGAAGAGGTGAGATATCTAACAATATAATAAAGCGCATGATAATTAATATATTAAATTAGATCACATAACATCCCCATTTATCATCTTATAATCAATGATAATCGCATCAATAATACACATTCACAACATCAATATGCAACTTCTTTATGCAATCATATAATGCGACTCAATACTATGCAAATGCATGTGGTACCATTGGAGCAGAACTCCCATCTTAAAAGTTTCCAATTAATAGAGGCATCAACAAGGCATAAGCCTTCATCTCAATATTCACCAATACAGGCCATCTCAACGAGCATAAGCTCCATCTCAAAATGCAATGTATGCGACATGATCATGAATGTAATAACAACACCATAATTAACAACATCTCAATACAACATCTTCGTTGGCCAAAGGCCTACATCTTAAAGCATCTCAACATCTCTTCATCAACATCATTCATCTTAAATCATCACACATCATGTATACATCATAATTCATCAAACAAAATCTCATTAACATTATCTCATCAACAATTCATCCGCACAGTAATACAACAACACTCATCATTTTCACAATGTTAGCCATAGGCCTATACAAGATATTTCCTATAATTAGTTAATCAACTAAGGCTTGCTTCTAAATCACCAAATCCCTGCATACTACTATTCTATAATATTACATCATTATTATTATTATTAATCCTACTATTATAAACCAAACAGCAGTCTATAATGATATCATCCTCATCATTCTGCCTAAGAATTAACATAGAGATTAACGCGTGAATTAACTCTAGTCCTAATTGGGATTACTAGGGTTATCCTTCCTATTCTTCATTTTAATCCTTAAGAATAAAGTTCATCGTGTTAGCTATTCAACGCTTCGAACGACAAAAGATGTTGTTAGAGAAGGGCGCTTGACAAAAGATGAAGGGACAAAAAAGTCGTCATACGGGTTCTCTCGAAATAAATAAAGTGAGACAAATGTTGTTATTGGGGAAATAAAGATTAAGCCACCTAGAAGACATCAACAGTACCAATAACAGGTTGCTTTTGTGACTCCTGTCGTCAATGTAGCTCCAACCACTGTTGCCTATCAAAGACCATCTCCTCAGGGGAATCAAGGGCAAAGTCAGAAGAGAGAAGCCTTTGACTCAATTCCAATGAGCTATGCAGAGTTACTCTCGGCTTTGATTCAGAAGAAGATGGTTAAGACCAGGCCTCCCATGTTGTACCTTCACCTCTACCATGGTATTATAAGGCAAACCATACGTGCGCTTTTCATCAAGGAGCACCAGGGCATAGCATTGAGAACGATTATCCTTTGAAATCCAAAGTACAAAAGATGGTGAGATATGGCCTCCTATCCTTTAAATATGTTGGCCCTAACATGAAAGCTAATCCTTTGCCAAAGCATGAAGGAGAAAATGCGGTAAACATGGTTGCTGGTTGTCTTGGGGATTTCCGGATTTTTGATATCAACCTGGTTAGAGGGGATCTGGTGAAGATGCATGGTGATCTATGTGAGTTTAGTTACTATACGCATGACCATGCTGGTTGTGGTATTTACAGTACAGATATACAAGGGTGTGATAAGATAAAAGTTGATCTTCAGGAAATGATGGATGAAGGCCTCATTCATATAATCAGGCCTAGGGAAGAGTACGAAGAAGATGTGAATATAGTCTATGGATGTCCTGGAGAATTTTGGATCTTTGATGTGAATCATATGAATGGTGATTTGGTGCAGTTGCATGCTACCTTTTGTCACATGGATGGTCAAGAGGAACACCATTATGGGTCCTTCCAGGTTTGCTGCTGAGATTCTCGTGGTTGTTCCATTGTGAAAAGGGGTATTCAGTTGTTATTGGATAATGGTACTATCAAAGTCTCAGGCCATAGAGATGACTACCATGGGATTAACGTAATTGAAGATTATTCGGTCAAGACTGTGTCAGATGATGAATATGCTTCTACAGATGAATTATTTCCCGTGGATGAAGATATGTTCTCCAACAATGATTCTATGATAACTAAGTATTATGAAGAAATGGTGAATGTTATTGTGCCTTGTTTCGGTGTTCCCGCACCTATAGAAATTGAATACCATAACAAGTCAGTATTTGCTCCAGTGGTGATTTGCTTGCCGGGTCATGTTCCTTACGAATCAGACAAAGCCGTACCGTATAAATACAATGCTACAATTCTATAGGATGGTATGGAGGTTCCCATCCAACCTTTGTCTGATGTCAAGAATATTGCTGAAGCCAGCCGAGTAACCCGCAGTGACCGTGTTTTCGCACCTGTCATTCGAGGCACTACAACATTTAGGCTCTCCAGCAACAATTGAAAAACGTTTCCAGAACTCTGAAAATCGTTGCCTAAAACAATAGGGGACGTTTTCTAGGCGTCTCCTGTGCGAGCGTCGCCTATTGTTTGAGGTGACGTTTTTTTATGTTTTTTGGGAACGCTTTTGAAAAATGTCGCCTATAGTAAAGGAATAGGGGACGATTATTTACGGCCTCTGAGACAATGTTTTTTAAGCGTTGCGTTGCCAAATTCGGCTACAATTAACAATCGTTGCCTTAAACCTGAATCAGGAAGATCGTTTTTAAAGTGTAGCCATAGCTTATAGGTTGTTGTTTTATAGTGTCCACATAAAATATACAATTTTGCAATTATTATCAAAATAATATAGTCAATAATAATTGGCTTCAAAAATAATATTGATTATATAACTTAAATCATACATCCATAAAAGTTGTAATATAATAAAATCGAGTTCAAACTTTAATTCAAGATATAGTATATAGAGTACACAAAATGCCTAACGTAACAATATTACTTTTAATACTTTGAAGTATGACCCTAGTAAAATAACTAAAAACATAGTTCAGCAAAAGAACAAAAATCATATTTCAAGTTTAATGCTTTCAACTACAAGCCAAAAAAAAGACATCATCCAACTCATTCAAGTTTGTCTTCTAGGAGTAAAGCATCCAGACCGTCCTCTTGAAATTCGTTATCCTCCATAAATTCTTCATCTACGTCGTCCTCTTAAAATTCACCATCTATATCCTCCTCTTGAAATTCATCATCTAGATCTATGTCGTCCTCTTGAAATTTGTCATCTATGTCGTCCTCTTGAATTTTATCATTTAGGTCCTCCTCTTAAATTTTATCATTTATGTCGTCCTCTTGAATATCATCATTTATATCGTCCTTTTCAACATCTTCATTGATACATTGTTGCATAAGAAAATAAAATAAAACACATTAACCATAAGTATTTTTGGTCCAAAGGACAATTAAGACATCAACAAGAATTAAACCTCGCACAAATAAAAACTAAACCAATGAGCAAAACACATTGTTTATATTCTTCACATCTCATGGATGTGAATTAATTATGAAGGTTTTTAATGGATGTGAATTTTCGTTCTAAACTGTAATAGGTGACATGAGCTTACTAGCAAATAAATCAATTATGAAAACCATTTTGTTTTTGGCTCACTATTCAGGACTTACAATAGCCTTTAACTGTATGTATGTATGTATAACTTGTGCTATCCTTTTATGTTTATTTTTTGGAGTAAATGAACTCTGATGAACACTCTTACTTGTTGTATCTTCTTTGGTGTTCAGTATCATATGGATAAATTTACAGCATACATAGTGAGTGTTATCAAACAGGGGGGTCCCATAATCTTATCCCAGGCAAGTATGTTTGTGAAATATCAATGAAAGCTCGCACAAATAAAACAGTTTCAGCCACTTCTAGGTGTTGTCACTACTTAAACAATTTCAACCACTTACTTTATTCTAGGTGTTGTCACTACTTGCAAATTTTTGCATACATTAACAACCATTTTGATACTATAACATAATTAGAAAAATATAAATCAATAATATTGGTATATATGGTTACCTTTCCATGACATGGAGCATGAGTTGATGTAGATGAATGCATTTGCAGTCTTATATCCTTTGGGGAACTATTAGCATCTCCATGAGATAATCCTAACAAATCTTCAATTGACTCTATATTAATTTGAGGATTGCATTGTTGTATTACGGTCTTAAAAGCATTTTGTAATCTATCAATCTTATCTTGAAACTCGTCCCTTAATGTAGAGACCTCTTCACTGTGGGCTTGTTTCAAAGCATTAATCTCTGCCTTTCTCTTTAAGGAAGTTTTAGTTATGTTTCTCCCATAACAGCGTACCCTTCCTGGACACTCCTTTCCAAAAAAAACTTTAAAAGCTTCTGTATCACTTTCCTCCTTTTCAACCATTTCTTGAAGTTGGGACTCGCATAAATTACAACAAAAAAAATTAGCTACTATTATAGACAATGTTGGCCGATTATATTAAGCAAACGTATTATATAAACAATGTTACATACAATTACTTTTCCAGTTTCTACATCTAGTTCCTTTCCTTTATTTCCTTTTCGAGTTTCAACAAACATTTCTGATTGAGTGGGCTCTCTTTTTTCCTTTTCACGCTGCACAAATCAAAATAATTCCATAACAAATTATGTGAATTAAAATTCCTATTCACGAGTCAAAGAAAAGTTTTTCACGAATACTTTAATTGAACAAAGAAACATTCATACAAGGAATAATTTATTGAGAACAAAAGAAAGTTACCACTTTTTCACGAGTCAAAGCAAAGTTTTTGGGACCCATTCGATGCATCCACTTTAGTTGAGCTCTATTTCTAGTGTTATTTTCACTGATTGCCTACATTTAAATTTGACAGAATTATTATAATAAATATTACTTAATTATGGCATACATAGAAAGGTGTAAATTCACACACATACATAAAAAAATTATTAATCTTACTTGTATAGTTTCCTTACTCCAATAAGCACAAAGACTCTTAAACTGGGCTATTGGCACGTTTGGCGGACGATTTTTGAGTCTCTAGGTCATGTTGGAATACTTCAAAAAATGATTCTTCTTAATTTTGTGCTTATATTTTCTCCATGCCTCTCTAACAGTGGTCTCAATCCAATCTCGTGCTTCAACCGGCAAGATAAACTTCCGCTACATAAATTATAAGATAAGACAAGATCAAGAAATGAAACACTTTTTTTTAATAATTAGACTTTCAAATTCATAGATAAAAACATACATTAGTATATCTCCAGAAACAGTTTTTATTATCATCTGGCATTCCTGACCAATTGGTGTAACGTAGAGGACAAAATGTTGAGTTCCTAGCCAATGTTCCCAAGAAGAGGCTCAAGTCAGATACTACTTTTTCACTAGGACCAATTGGCTGAAAATCCTCATTAAAGGTCACTTCTACTCGCTCTTCCAAAGTTCTTGCATGAATCTTTTTGCACAAAGTTTTCCCACGAGTTTTTCTTAGGGATGTTTCTATAAAGTAATAACATAACAACATGATATCACATGTTTGCTACCAATATGTAAATAATACATGAAATCTTTATTATGAAATATAAAACTAATTACCTTTTTCTTCTTCTCTATTTGTGATTGCATCTTCTTCGTTGACTTTTGCCCGATTTTGAACACTTTCTTGTCGAGTTCCTTTTTTTGATTGATTTTGATTAGAGCTACGGTTAACGCTGCTGCCCGGTTTTTCACCATTGTTTGACTTGGTTGCATCCATTTCCTTTGACTTGTGAAGATCTACATAATCATCAATCAACATTGATGGGCATTTTGGCACCCTGTTTAGCTTTTGAGAGCATTCAGCTTTTGACATCATTGTGTCCAAAGATAGAGTAGATTTCTCTGGTTTCTTATTTTTGGAAGAAATAAGTATTCTCCTTGCAACTGGTTTTTCCACCTTTTGAATTTTATCTCTATTGTTCTCTAGTAGATTCTCATGAATTCTTTTTTTCAGCATTCCTGGTTTCAATATAATTTTCTCGTCATAATAATGTCATGAAAAGAAATATATAAATTTAAAGTATATGCATGGATATTAACTACCTTGTGAAACTTCTTTGTTTCCATGTGCAAGAACTTCCTTAGCTTGTGGTTGCAAAAGCTTAGGTCTCTCTGCTTTCTTCATAGCAATGTGGTTGTCCAATTTTCCATCAACCTTTTCAATTATTTCTCTATTCACTGTAGCTTTCACTTGAGTTCTTTTCTTTGGTGTTTCTAATTTTAGTAAAAATTCACCAAAAGATATTAGGAATAATTTCATGTAATATATGCATAATAGAAAAATTTAAAAATCACTTACCTTGTACAACTTCTTTGTCACCATGTTCATGATCTTTAATTACTTTTGGTTGCGAGAGTTTGTCTATCTCCATTTTCTTTGCAATAGTCTCTTTGTCCAAATTGTGATCAACCTTTTGAACTCTTTCTTGTTGAGTTCCTTTTTTTGGTGTTTCTAATTTTTGTAAAAATTCATTAAAAAACAGTAGGAATAATATATCTAAAGGAATTCCAAAACATAACTTTAACATACATCATTTTATATAAAATCAAATGAAACAAGAAAATGATTTACCGTCCACAACTTCTATAATTTCCTGAACCCTTTCTCTATTGTTTCCCTGTAGCATCTCATGTAACTTGTCAATTTTTTCTTTCTTAACATGTTGTAGAACTTTCTTTGTCAATTCTGCACTTGATCTGACTTGAAGAGGAAAATCAAATCTTTTAGTAGGACTTCGACCACTCCTCCTATGTGATCCACCATCTTTTACACTTCTTACATTGTCCATTATGGCCAACAACTATGATCTACAAAGGGAGAAAATTACATAATTAAATAATGAAAAATTGAGTATAAATTGACATTATGCATAACCATAAATTAACAGTATATTTGAATCTAGTTTGTTATGGTTTAAGTAAAAAAATGACAGCATGCATAACCATAAATTAAACTTTGAATCATAATCAGTACTAGAAACACATTGCCAATGCTACCTAATCAGTACTAGAATCATAATCGGTTTCATCGTCACTTCCATAACTCGTGTCACTATGATCACTCTCTATTGCTTTTTGGTTGTGAAGTTCTGACAAAGCAATTTCAAAGATATCATCCGACAAATCTTTCCTAACCAAATCCACTTCACAATCATCCCTTAATGTATTAAGATTTGTTGAAATATCATATTCTTGGGCATCTGTACTTAAAGATTCTCCCATCTCAAATGATTCCCTTGGAAGTGCATTTAGAACATAGTGTTTGTTTTTGTTTAAAGGATCTTCAATAAAGAAGCATTGTTGAACTTGAGATGCCAACACAAATGGATCATTTTTGTAGCATTTTTTGTTAAAGTAAACCAACGGCGATCCATATTTATCCTTTTCATCCACAAACCAATCACATTTGAACAATACATATTTTTCATGACCATAATAATCTAACTCTATAATATCTTTTATTGCCCCATAGTAAGTCACACAAATCTTTTTGGGATTTTCATCCTTCGCATTTCTAAGAACTTGAGTCACCGCTTCTAATGTCACACCACTATTTTGTGTTTTAAGCCTTGCTTCACGATTTGTTGTATGAAACCTGTATCCATTAATAACATAACCAGAATACCTTCTAACAACATCATTTGGTCCCCTAGACAACACCTTCAACCATTCAGTAACTTTCTCATCCATGAGACGTGTTTCAAACCATTGAATAAAATCTTTTCTTTGATTGTTAGCTTTTCTGGACTTCCTTTTTTTTAGAGGATTATGATCATTAACCTCATGCTCTCTACAAAATAAATAACTAATATTTTAATACAAAAGAAAAAGAAAACTTATAGTGAGAATGAAATTTTGTATCAAGTAGATGAGTGTACCTAATGTACTCTTGCACTTCATCGAAATTGAATAAAATGTAGCCGTGAGCTTAGTTTAGAGACTTATGATCAAGGGAAATTAGTTTCTTTCCCCCGATTGGATGACCTATGTTTGGAGTATCATCGCTATTTCGTGTCATTCTATTCATCCTTGTGTCTACAGCACTAGACAAATATCTTGAACAAAATGTTAGAGATTCTTTAACTAAGTATGCTTCAGCGATACAACCCTCTGGACGACTCCTATTACGAACAAAAGATTTTAAATCACCCAAATATCTTTCCATATAATACATCCATAGAAATTGAACCGGTCCACCCAATCTGACTTCATTTGCCAGGTGAATTGGTAAGTGAACCATTATGTCAAATAAACTCGGAGGGAAGATACGCTCGAATTGGCAAAGTGTTTCAGCAATTTCTACTTCCAAGTAATCCAATGATTTCACATCTATAACCTTCTGGCATAAACACCGAAAAAATGAACAAAGTCGAAGCAAAGGGATAACAATTTGATTAGGGCCTATCCCTCTTATTGCTACTTGCAACAAGTAATGCAATATAATATGAGCATCATGACTCTTGTATCCAGAAACTTTTCCTTCATTAACTTGAACACATCGAGAAATATTGGATGCAAGGCCATCAGGAAGTTTTACTGTCTTTAAAACATTACAAAAAATAGTTTTCTCTTGCTTTGTTAGGGAGAAACATGCCTTAGGGATTTGAGTTTTCTTACCATCACTTGTTTCCTTCAAATGGAGTTTTTTTCTAATCCCCATGTGTTGTAGGTCCAAACGAGCTTTTGCATGATCCTTTTTCTTCCCTTCAATATCTAAGAGAGTCCCCATTATATTATCACAAATGTTCTTTTCTGTATGCATAACATCTACATTATGGCGCAAAGAATTATCCTTCCAATATGGTAATTGCCAAAAGATAGACTTTTTCTTCCATGGACCAGGCCTTTTTTTATGATATTTTTGCCCCACTACGTCAGGAATCTTTTCTAAGTCTTTTAAAATCATTGTTGAATCTAACAAGGAGGGTGCAGACCTATATTCTGGCTTTCCATCAAAAGAACTTGAATTTGATCTCCAACTATGATTTGAATCCAAAAAGACTCGATGACCCATATAACACATCTTTCGACTATGTTTTAAGTATCTTGAAGAAGTTTTATGATTACAAGCAGGACAAGCAAACTTCCCTTTAGTACTCCAACCGGATAACATAGCATATGCAGGGAAGTCATTCACAGTCCACATAAGAGCTGCACGCATTTGAAATGATTGATTTTTTGAAATATCATATGTTTCTACACCGACTTCCCACAATATCTTAAGCTCCTCAATAAGTGGCTGCAAATACACATCAATTTCATTTTCGGGTGACTTTGGTCCAGGAATAAGTAACGACATCAAACAATTTTCAGCCTTCATGCACAAATTTGGAGGATAGTTATATACTGTTAATACAACAGGCCATGTTCTATGTGAAAGACTCATGGTCCTAAATGGATTAAACCTATCACTTGCCAACCCAAGTCTGATGTTACGAGTTTCACGAGCAAAATTTGAATGTTTGGCATCAAAGTCTTTCCATGCTTGGGCATCAGCTGGATGCCTTAACTTCCCATCCCTTGAACGATGGTCTGCGTGCCACCTCAATGTATCAGCTGTCTTTGAACACATAAAAAGTCTTTTCAATCTTGGAATCAATGGAAAATGTCTTAGAACTTTGGCGGGAACCTTATGAGCTTTTATAGATTCTTCAAGATCATTAGCAACTTCAGGATATTCAATCCACCTTGACGTGCCACAAATATGACATGAATCATCTTTCTCGTGATCTTTCCAAAACAACATGCAGTTGTTCAGACATGCGTCAATCTTTTTATAGTCTAAGCCCAAATCTTTTATCATAGATTTTGTTTTATTGAAAGAGACAGGGATGTTCAAATCTGGCATAGCCTCTTTTAACAACTCTACGAGAGCAGTGAATGATGCATTACTCCATCCATGGAGACATTTCAACAAATAAATTCGAATAGTGAATGATAACGAGGAAAACTTTTCACAACCAGGATACAACTCTTGATTTGCATCATCAACTAGTTTATAAAATTTCTTTGCATCTTCATTTATCCCTTCATGTACTCCACCTCCTTCAGCCACATCTTTAAATGTCTCAAATAGTAAGCCATTGATATCATCATGAGATGATGTTTCATCATCACTATCACCATCAAGATCTATAAGACTCTCATCTTCACCATGATAAATCCATTCAGTGTATCCCTTTACAAATCCTTTACTACATAAATGGTCATACACTACATCTCTTACTTCCTAACTGTCATTGCAACATACAGAACAGGGACACAAAATCTCTTCTTCTTCAACCATTTCTTTGGTGAATGCAATATCCAAAAAGTAATTTACACCGTCCTTATAACTTTGACTGTGTGGAGGTAACTCCACCCAATCCTTCTTTATCATGTTTGGTTTTCTAAAATGAAATAAATTATACATTACTCTTTATCATATAAAGGATGGAAAAACACCATGGTTCATATATCAACGTAGCTTTTACAAATGCATAGTTATTATAAAAATTTCATTTATAATCTAAATATACACTAACATGCATTCCAATACCAAACATAGAATAAATTGGTGAACTTTTAATCTAAACATGCACAAACATTTCATAGTCTAATATAATATGTATTTGTTGTTTATTTTCAAACTATATAATATGTATCTGTTACCTGAATTCTTTCAACTTGATTCCAGCAGTAATAGAAACTAAAATCTTGTCCTTAGTTACAAGCGACTTCGATTTCAACACAACTTCCTTCACTGCAACAACAACAACAAAGCTAGTAAATGAAACGACAACGTTTCTTTCCCAAACAATGTTGAAATCGATGAAATATCTATTGAGGTTTAACCGAAACAACGACGGTGAATGATCTAAAGACAAATAATTAGAAAATGAGAAAATGAAATGCAATTACAATTACAAACTTATTAAACAAAATTGAACAAAGAACCAATATTGTAATAGTTATCTAATAAAGTGCCACCACGGAATAATATAGGTATTTACTCATGCAAAACTTAAAGAGTAGAAAGTAATTTATCTAACTAATCATATAAAATTTAAAGGAATAGAATACCACCATGAATAAAACATACTGAGAGTTTCGTAAAACAATTATATATGATGTTCAATTTAAAGGAGAGTTATCTAACTAATTATATATGCTGTCCAATTTAAAGGAGAGTTTCGTAAAACAATTATATATGCACATGGTGCTGTCCAATTATATATGTTGTCCAATAAAACATAATGAGAGTTAAAACAATTATGCTATCCAATTTAAAGGAGAGTTATCTAACTAATTATATATGCTGTCCAATTTAAAGGAGAATTCGTAAAACAATTATATATGCACATGGTGCTGTCCAATTATATATGATGTCCAATAAAACATACTGAGAGTTAAAACAATTATGCTGTCCAATTTAAAGGAGAGTTCTCTTGTGGCTAATAAACTTCATGCTAACAAAACAATGAGCATCGCTAACAGTAAAATCGTAAAACAATTATGCTGTCCAATTATATATGTTGTCCAATAAAACATACTGAGAGTTAAAACAATTATGTTGTCCAATTATATATGTTGTCCAATTTAAAGGAGAGTTCTCTTGTGGCTAATAAACTTCATGCTAACAAAACAATGAGCATTGCTCACAGTAAAATCGTAAAACAATTATGCTGTCCAATTATATATGCTGTCTAATTTAAAGGAGAGTTCTCTTGTGGCTAATACATACACAATTATGTTGTCCAAACTAAACAACACCAAACCGTAAAACACCGTACAACAACACACATATACA